TGCTGAGGACTGAGCGCGGAACAGTCCAAACGCACCAGCCTTGGGCGCAAAGCGGGACTTTCGGTCCGCCCTCGGCCCGGGCTGCTGGGCGGGGCCGCACCTGCAGCTGCCGCTGGGCCTGTCGCCGCCGCCTGGCCCAGGTGAGCCGCTCCACCCCCGCGGCCGCGCGGGCCACAGGTCTTGGCAGCAGGTGAGTGGCAATCGTGGCTCCTGCCCACGGAGGTGAGTGGAGGTCTCCGGCTTCCGGGAGCCAGGACCAGGCCTGAAGCCTGGGGGCCGGGTGGCCTCTCGCCCCGGGGAGCCTCTCGGCCGCGGTGGGTGCGGTTCCGCAGGAAGTGCGCGGAGCTGGGCTCGCTGCCCACGTCGCCCGGAAGCCCGAGCTCGCCCGCGTCCCGGTCCCTTGAGCCTCGTGGGGGCAAGCGCCGCTCTTTCCCGCTCCGCCTGACGTGAGCAGTGGCTTCCTCGCGGCCCTGGCCCATGAGAGGAAGAGAGCGCCGAGGCGCGAGGGGACCCCCACCTCCGCCCCAAGGTCGGCGCCCAGGTCTGGGGCCTCCCAGGGCGCCGGGGGCTGACAGTGGAACCGGCCGGAGCCGCTGCGCGCCGGCCCCCGGGCGGAGCCACCGCCGTCCGCGCGCCTCTCTGCCTTCCGTGCGCGCCCTCGCCGTCTGCGCGCGCCCCCGACCTGCGGGCCATCCGCGCCCCCCAACGGCGCGCGGCCTGCCCCGCCCGCTCACCGCACCTAGAGGGTGGGCGATGCTAAGGCCGGTCCACCCCTCCGGGAAGGCGGAGCGCAGGTGCGGGGCGTGCGGCGAGGGAGACCCGGGTGTCGTGGGCGCCTCTCGGCTTGTGGGGCCCAGGCGTTTGTGCACGTTCTTCCCTTCAGGAGACGCGGCACGCACAAGGCGCGGAGGGGCTGCCCGCCCCCAAAGAGGGGGAGTCGCTCAGAGACTGTGGGGTGCTGAGCAGCAGACCAGACGGCAGGGCGGGGAACGGAGCGGCGCTGGGCGGGGGCTCGCGGAGGCACTGGAGCTCCAGCGCGAGGCCGGAGGGTGGGAAGGGTCCGGGCTTTCTAGGAACCGCACGGCGCGGGACGGAGTGTGGTGGGCGGTGCAGGGGGCGGGCTCGGACGCGGAAGGGCTGTTCTGGAGAGCGATTGAGGCAACGTGGAGGTTTATGCTCTCTTTGGGGAGTGGGCCTGGGGGACGAGGGAGGGTACGCGTGACGGTTACAGGCTAGCGGGGCGTGCAGCTATGGCTGTGAGATGCCGGTACAGACGGGCATCCAGAGCAGCAGGCCGTCTGCCAGGACCTCTGAGGGGCAGCAAGACTGGCTGCGGACACGAGAGCTCTTTGCTTCCTGCCTGGGTGCTCCTGGGCAGGTCACTGACTGCTGGCGGCCAGTAACCTGTCCATCAGGTGCTTGTGCTGCCTAATCGGCCTCAGCGCCCCCAGGGCAGCTTGCAGGGCGGGCTCCTACCAGCTCCAGCAGGCGTCCAGGAAGCTGAGGATCAGTGGGGAAGAGGTGCAGTCAGGCCTTCCTCCAGTTCTGCGAGACTCTGAGCCCAAGATGCGCTGTCACCTAAGAGTCTTGAAGGCCACCAGGGCTTTGAGCAGGGGGACTTGGGCGGGGTCAGATTAAGGATGTGGGGAAGCAGGTGCTGCCCTGAGGATGTGCCCCTGGGAGGCCCTGCCCTGTGTGGGTGGGGGCAGGGACAGGGGCTGGAGGGGACTCTTGCCTGATTTCTGCGGGCAGCGATACCAGCCACCTGTCGCTGGGCCCTGAGTCCTTCATCAGTCTGGGGTCGGGGCGCGGGAATCAGTGGTGGCAACAGGGGATGCTGGCTGCCCATCCCCCCACACTGGGCTCAGAGCTGGGCGCCTCTGCTGAGGCCTCCTGTCTGCTTCCTTGTCTAGGGAAGGCGGCACTTCTCTCCCTTCCCCTCCTGAAACTAAGGTCCATGTGATACCCCAGCCCCCTTGTAGCTGCTCACTGTTTGGGGGCTACACCTGGGAGGTGGACAGGGAGGGAGCCAAAGAACCCAGCCCAAGGCCCCATTGCTGGTGAGAGTTTCCACAGGAGCCCCATCACCCCCACAGGTCAGAGGTCAGGGATACTTCGGGCTGCTCACTTGGGCCCAGGAGCTACGTGGAGACTCCGCCCTCTCCTGGGTGTTGGAATCGTAGGGGTGTCCAGAAAGCAGGCCATACTGCCCAGCTCCTTGTGTGCGTGCAGGACGGCCCTGATGGGGAGGGGTTTGCCTGCCAGGACCCCGACATATCACCCTGGGCCCAAGTACTGGTGCAGCCTCTACCCACCTTCCAGGTCTGGCCTGCGGAAGGATGGTGCCTGGATGGACTGGGGTGGGCCCCAGAGGAAGGAGCTGCTTGACTCAGAGTTACAGGAAGAGCGGGGCAGGCGGGGCCAACGGGGAGAACCACCAACTGCCCGCCAGCCCGCCTCAGAGGAGGGTGGGTGCTTGGGTGGGGTTTGGGTTTAGGAGAGGATGTGACTGCGAAGCCAGGAAGCTACGGGGAAAGTTCTGAATAAAACACACAAACAAAAGCCAGGTCCTCACCGTGCTTGGCAATGCGTCCGGGGCAGCCGTGGTGCTTTGGACTGGGCCGGGGGCCCAGCTGAGCAGAGTTTGCTCCAAAGCACAAGTCAGTGCCCTCAGTGACCGACCTCCCCGACTCAGGAGGAAAGAGCTGGAACCAGGTGACTTCGTGCCCTCCTACGGTGGCCTTGCTTCTCGGCGTGAGCCTGTGTCCTTGTCCTTGGGTGCCTTTCCTGGCCTGAGGCCTGTCCTCAAAATCAGGCCTGGCTAAGGAGAGGCCCGCAAAGCATGTGGCACGTGTGTGCATCATGTGCGTGCACCAGTGAGAGTGAGGGGTGATGGGAGGCCAAGGGGTGTGTGAAGTGCAGTGAGTGTGGTGTGAGGTGTGTACAGATGCTCGTGGCTGTGTGCCCTGTGGGAGCTGTGGCAAGTGTGTGCTGTGTGTGCCAGGTGTGTAGACCACCAGCGTGTGTGAGTGTGGGGTGTGTGCACGTGTGCACAGGGGCCAGGAGCTTACTGTAGGCCTGTGTGGGGTGCAGGGGGTGGGTGTACGGCGCCGACTGTACAGAGGGGCTGTTGCAGGGAAAATGGCAGGGAGAGGGTGCAGCACAGAAGCTGCAGGGGGTTGTGCAGGTCAGGGTGTGTGTGGGGTGTGCAAGGGAGACTGCAGGGGAAGGTGTGGAAGGGAGAGGTATACAGGACAGACTGTACAGGGAGGGGTATGCAGGGGAACACCTGCCTCCTGGCCATGCAGTTTGGCCTTAACTTCCAGGAGGATCTGAGATTGCATTTCCAGGGGTGGGAGGTCTTCTGAGCTTGGGGAGGCCAAGGAGGCACTGGAGGAGTTGCCCTAGGACCTGCTGGGCTGCAGGAAGTTCCTTTTGGGAGAGGGGGTGTGAGCTGCCCAGTCTTCCACAGTCCCTCAGTGGCTGGTTCTCCTGCTTCAAGGACCTTCCCAGGCCTGCCCTCCACTCCAAAGGCTTCTGGAAGGACTTTCTGCACTAGCCCCCAAGGGATCAAGCCTGACACTCCACTAATTAGTGAGGAAATTCCAGCCCCTCCGAACCAGGGGCAGAAGCTGGGCCAGGTCCACAGGGGGTCATCCGTGCAGGAGTGGGAGGCAGGCTGAGACTCATCCCTGCAAAGCCTCAGGGGTCCTACTGGTGGGGAGGGAGGGAGTGGTGAAGGAGCTGGGCCCCAGTGTGTCCACTTGGCAGGGAAGGAGGGAGTGGAGTGGATGGATACCCGCTGGATTAACCGGGTGGACCTGGGTGACAAGGAAGAGGTATCCGGGGCCCAGCTGCCAAGGAGGCTGTCGCGAAGGCCCCTGCCCTGGGGCTTCATGCCCCGGCCTTTCAGCCCAGGTCACTGTAGAGATTTTTGTGTCAAGAGGCTGCTGACTGGCTGGAAGTGGCCCCAGAGTCCACGTAGGGAAGAAGGGTCACCTATGAGTGGGTGGGGACTTCCCTTGGAGAACTAGACAGTGTGGACAAAGGTCTCTGGGTTTGAAGATGACAAACAGGTGGGGGCGCCGGCACAGGACCCAGAAAGAGGGATGCCCCGTCAGGCCCAGCCTGGCCCCACTTGCCTCTCCTGCCTTGACGCCTCGGCCCAGCTCAGCCTCAGCCTCAGGTGCCGCGTTCCCGAGGGCATGTCGCACCCAGGACTGAGCGCAGAACAAAGCCCCGGCTGGGAGCGTGGCTCAGTCTGTCAGCCTCAGGGTGGCTGAGTGTGGCGGCCCCATCCCAGGGGACGTGGGAAGAGGCCAACTCCCAGGCTCATGAGGCGTGCTGGGGGCACTGCCCCACCCTGGGCCGTCGTGGTGGCCCTGGAGCAGAAGTTCAGCCCGAGGGCCCCGACCAACCCCCTGGGCTGCGCAAGGTGGCGCCACTCCCGCCACGTGTAAGGGACCGGGTGCTGTGCGGGTGCCTGATGCTCTGCCGGCTTCCATGAGGCAGCTGGTGCAGAGACAGTGTTTCTGCAGCCAAAGTTACACGTTAACCGATCCTGTTCTTATTTAACTTGCTCCCTGGGGATGGTGGCAGCCTCCGACCCGTCCTGGAGCCCTGACTGACCTGATACAAGGACAGAGAGTGAGTTTTGCCCAGCCCTTGGGAGACCAGTCTGCTCGGCCAAGGAGCCCCGTGGAGCCGTGGGTGGCCCCAGTACCCAGCCTGCCCCGAGGAGGCCCCGGCCAGACCATGGCAGGTAGATGGGGCAGAGAGGGATCGGCTCGGGCTCCACTCCTACCTCCTGCCCCTCAGGCTGACTCCTGCAATGTTGCCCGGCTCTCTGCTTGGCCTCAAGCCAGGGGTACAAAGGCCTCTGTTCACCCCACCGTTAGGATGGGCCTTGAACCCTCTCCTGCCCAAGGCCTCTAGACCAGGCTAGTGGGGTAAAGCCCAGGGATACTGGGAGCGGGCACTGGTAGGGGCTGTTGGGGGTGGGATGGGTGGGAGACCACACTACCAAGACGATGACAGTCTTCTCTGACCTCCCCCTGGGGCTCATCCCCCCATTCTAAAGATGAGAAAGTTCGGATCTCCAGGAGGTGAGAAGGCTTGCTTGTGGCCTGGAGTAGAGGGTCCTGGAGCCCCAGACTCCCACACCAGGTGACAAGTGCTGGCATGCCCAACCCCTGAGTCCCCTAAACCACCAGTGTCCACACTCACTGTAGCTCCCCCAGCAGAAAGGCCAGGGCCTGGGCCTCACAGCGATGGGCGACAGGCGCACATGGGAAATGTGGGGGCCAGGCTTATGCCCTGGGTGGATGAGCAGTTAGGTGGGCCCTGCTGGGCTGGGGTGGGGTTGGGTCAGCTCAGCTCTGACTCCGGAAATGCCCTCCAGCTAACATCCCTTCGGAGCCAGGGCAGGCAGAACACACAAGAACCAGCTGCTGCTGGGGGAAGAAGGTATGCCAAATGCCAGGCCCTGTCCCCCACGGGACTCGTGGATGGACATGGTGTGGCCACCATGCAACACGTGCCACTAGCCAGCTTGGTTTTTTCCCGGCCCACAGACCATCTGTGGACCATGGGAGCCTGGCACTGCAAGCATGGCTAATGCACAGGTTCCTCTCTCTGCAGGAGTCTGCAACAGGGCCCCTGACTTCCTCTCCCCATCTGGACACCAGGCGCTGGGGTCTGCCCTAGGCAGTGTGGTCACTCTGAACTGCACCGCCTCGGTGGTCTCTGGGCCCCACTGCCCCCTGCCCTCAGTCCAGTGGCTGAAAGATGGGCTGCTGCTGGGCAGTGGAAGACACCATGCCCTCCACGAGGACTCCTGGTAAGAGAGGAGGGTGTCCAGGGTCAGGTAACCACGCTGGATACACCCATGGCCTGTGGCCTCTCTGACCTACACCCTGGTCTACAACTACCTGGATACGGGCTGGGGAGTGACTGCCCAGATGTGACACGAGCAGACTGCCACTCTGGATGCAGACTAACCATCAGTGACTGCAGGGATAGATGGCCCCTTAGACACCTTGTGGTCCACTCAGGGCCATGAGTGCCAGCAGGGGTCAGAGGACCCCCAGGACCCATATGCAGGATTACGGTAACTGTCTCCAAACAGATCCACACCCCCTTGATTCTGGCCATTTCTCTTAGCTTATGGCCCAAGGACTGCCTAGGAGGCCCAAATTTGCAGCCTCTTTGGATGAGTCCCAGACAGATGGGGCTAAGGGGCATCCAGTGATGCTCTCGGGCCCCAGGTGAGGGGGTGGGGCCTGGTTTCCCCAGGGTCAAGGCCAACTTGTCAGAGGTGCTTGTGTCCAGTGTCCTGGGGGTCAACCTGACCAGTGCGGAGGACTTTGGGACCTTCACCTGCTCCATCCAGAACGTCAGCTCCTCCTCCTTTACTCTTTGGAGAGCTGGTGAGGGGGGTTCACTGGGGTAGAGGGTAGGAGGGAGGCCTGGGAAGCCTTTAGGCTTGGAGGGAGCTGGGGTGGTCAGAGGCTCAGGCTGTAGCTCTGTCCCCAGGCCCAGCTGGACATGTGGCTGCGGTGCTGGCTTCACTCCTAGTCCTGCTGGTCCTGCTCCTGACAGCGCTGCTGTATGTGAAGTGTCGACTCAATGTATTGCTCTGGTACCAAGACACGTACGGGGAGGTGGAGATGAACGGTGCGTGGGTCCCGGATGGACGGGGATGAGGAGTCAGCCACAGGGCCTCCCTGGGCTCAGGTCTGGGTTGGGGGGTGTTGCCCCCAACAAACGTGAGCAGCTCTGGAGGTGGGGTCAAGGGGGCGTCCATCACTGGAGGGCTCTGGCGAGCACGGAGTCCGGGAAACGGGTGTCTCGATGCAGCCCAGGAAGGCACAGGGCTGGCGGAAGGGGGACACGGTATCCCAGTTCCTGGGCTCCACTTGGAATCCCGTGTGAGGGAGGGGTCTAGGCATGACTGGGACCGGGGAATCTGCTGGATCTGCGTCTGGGGCGCAGACCTGGCCCTTGCGGCACACTGGGAGAGGATTAGGGGACCCCGAGGGTGGCGGGCCCAGGCCTGGAAAGCGGCCGCGCTGACCCACCGCCGCCCGCAGATGGGAAGCTCTACGACGCCTACGTCTCCTACAGCGACAGCCCCGAGGACCGGAAGTTCGTGAACTTCATCCTGAAGCCGCAGCTGGAGCGGCGTCGGGGTTACAAGCTCTTCCTGGATGATCGCGACCTCCTGCCGCGCGCGGGTACCGAGGCGCCCCG